TCCAATCTTCTTCCACCAACTCTTCTCCCTGGTCTCGGATTCTGCCAGTCATTTCCGCCAGTTCCATGTAGTCCATCACCTTCATCTGCCATTCTTCCCGGGTGAGCATAGCCTTTTTGTTTTTCTAAGAAGGTGCCTAAGCAAGTTCATTCATCACTCTTGCTCTTTCCTGGGAATCTCTTATCTCTATGTGAAATATACTCGGAGTTGAGCGTTGATTTCATGCTCTTTATTTCATGCTCTATTTCAGCTCATGGCAAACAGGGAGTGAGTCTTCCCAAAAACCTCTGGCTATATATACATTATTTACACAATGGGTCCCATGTGATCAGCTGATTCAACTCCCCTCCTGGAGCCGGATTGGGCTGCTGCTGCAGGCCAATCAGGTTGCTGATTCACTTCCTCCTGGAGCCGGATTGGGCGGCTCCTGCAGACCAATCAGGATGCTACCTTCTAGGATCCTACTTGCCTATTGTTCTAGGATCCAAGCTCAGTACATAACACTATGGATGAAGCGCAAGCTTTGCAAATAAATATTTCTGGCACATTAACCAAACCATGCAATCGTAAGGCAGAACAAACTGGGGGTGCTCCCAGACTGCCACTATTTTATGCATTGGATTCTATAAAAGCAAATTCAGGTCACACAATTAATCCTGATTTGGAACTCTTGCACAACCAGCCCCCTTCCAAAACTAATGGGCTTTTTCTGGTAAGGAAAGTGATACACTAGAAAATACACTAGAAAGTATGGGGTAACCATTGCTTGACATGACATTGTATAACCTCTCTGCAAGCTTTACACAGACAGATCACAATGAATACTCAATAAGCAGGTCATCTGGAAGCAACACAATCTACTAGGTGGCAATTGTGAATCCATGTTCAAATTGCCACTCACCCATGAAGCTCACCTCATGACCCTGGGCAGTCACCTTCTCTCAGCCTGACCTAGATCACAGGACTGTTATGAGGATAAAATTGTGAAGAGGAAAACCAGGAAAGATGGAATATAAATCTAAGGGCGGGGGGAAACAGTATTGATTTGGGAGTGTGTCTAAGGTCTTATATTTAATATTCAACCCCTTATCATTCCATGTCAAGGTAGCTTAATTTTGTTTGTGCTGCATTTTCTGGCAATACTTTCTCAATCATCTTTTTCCCATCAGATTTTTCACTTTTATTCAAGTTCATATCCTAACAGGCAACAGTATAGAAAGAAACACATGTCCGTATGTCTTGACTTTGGCTGAAGAAGAAGAAGAAGAAGAAGAAGAAGAAGAAGAAGAAGAAGAGGAGTTTGGATTTGATATCCCGCCTTTTAATCCCCTTCAGGAGTCTCAAAGCGGCTAACAATCTCCTTTCCCTTCCTCCCCCACAACAAACACTCTGTGAGGTGAGTGGGGCTGAGAGACTTCAAGAAGTGTGACTAGCCCAAGGTCACCCAGCAAGTCAAGATATATAAGAGTATACTGTATAACTGACTTTCATACATGAGGGTTCTATTCTCATGAGGATACTGCCTTTGATGCCTGCTATTTACAGTTTTTTTTTAAAATGATATTTATTAAAGTTTCAGAAAAAGTTACAAAAATAAAAGGGGGGAAAAAGAAAAAATACAAAATACAGAAAAATAAAAACACTTAAAAACAAATCAGTCTTTCCATGTCTTGTCTTTCATTTACTTGTTTCCCTGACCTCCTCACACCTCCCTTTTTTGTATTCCAGTTCAGTTAGTTAATTCAGCAAATCCTTTCCCTCTTTGTTTTTATCCTAATCCTTTAACTTAATATATTGTAACTTTAGATTCTCACCTGTTAACAATCCATTTTTACATACTCCTTTGTAACATTGCTGCTAAAACCACTTAACTTCATTCTGACATCATTCTAACATTCATTAATTTTGCAGTATTTCTGTAAATAGTCTTTAAATTTCTTCCAATCTTCTTCCACCGACTATTTACAGTTGTTTTTAATGTATTTTGTTTATTTATTTTATCTATTTATTAGATTTATATAGCACCATTCATCATGACATCTCAGGGCGGTACACAGAAACATGCAGAAACATGAAATAAACTAAACTCCAACTCCCATCAGCCCCAACAAACGTGGATAATGTTCAAGGATGATGGGAGTTGCTGTCCAATGATGTCTGGAGGACACCATATTGGCTACCATTGCTGTAGCATGTAAGTTTTTTTTTTTTTTGGCCAAATCTTTTAAAAAAGCTTTTTGAGCTTTTTTAAAAAATGGAATTTGCCCAAATCCACACTGCCAACATGGGTTGCCATACGTCTGGAATTTCCCAGACATTTCAGTGATTTCTACCTGTACACTGTTTCTGATGGCCAAATTCTGGCTATGTCTGGGACGTTTCGGACATATGGGAACCCTACATAAGCATCTTATTGGCCACCAAAAGAACAGGATGCTGGACTAGATGGGCCACTGGTCAGTCTAGCAGGGCTATTCTTACGTTCTTAAGAAAACAGTTGATGCTGAAATGCTTGGGTTTCCAACATAACATGATAAAAACATGGAATTTGGTGTCACACTATTATAAATATTCTACTTGTGCAAATGTGCAGCTTTCCAGATGGAATGATCACTCTCTGTCCCTGTGCACTGCTTGGCAGGAGGTGTGTGAGTGGTCTTCCCAACCCTCCAAGCCAATTTTGTGGGGCACTGGGAGGGAAGAGGGAGGATGCCCTGTTGTACAAGCAGAAGTGCTTGTAGGGCTCCCTAGGTCAGGGGTCAGCAACCTGTGGCTCCGGAGCCGCATGTGTCTCTTTTACACCTTTGCCGTGGCTCCGGGGCGGATACTAGCGAGGGGAGGAGGCACATTGTGTGCTCCGACACTCCCCACTGTTTTAAATGTCGCAATGGTTTTGCGGCCCCCAGTTTTTTTTTCTTTGGTCCAAGTGGCTCTTTTTGTCTTAAAGGTTGCAGACCCCTGCCCTAGGTGAATGCTGCCCTATGTGCTCTGTGTATGGTTTTTAAAAAATCATTTTAATACAATTTTAGTGGAGGCTATGATTTTATGAAGCTTATTTTTGTTTGCGACTTTCATTTGTTTTTACTTTACCCCCTTCACATTTGGCCTATAAAGGCTTACTTGTAAAAGTTACTGATGCTTACTCACTTCTGAGAAATGGAAGATAAAGGGGGAAAAGACAGTGCAGATGGGCAGCAGAATGATAGAGAGCCCAGGGCACGAGAATGCTGGTAGTCCTGGGAGACAATGCAAGCACATATTTCGTACCCTGAAGTAGCACACCATCTATAAATACATTTTGTATGTTGATAGACATGCACAGCTGAAATGAGTGTGTTTAAAAAATCATGATTTTTTTTTATTAAAAAAATGGAAGCAGTTTCCACTGTGAGTCCTCAGAGTTGAGAGACCAAATGAATTGGTCATGAAACAAGCGGTGATGGATCTCAAATGTGGCAAGAATTTATGCCAGCTTCCCAGTTTTACACCCCATTCAGTTGGATGGAGGTTCTGAAAACGGATGGTTTTACTTGCTTTATTGACTAATATTACACAAGCATCTATAGCCAAATGAAAACCTCTACTATAGTTACTGGGGTTGTGGGGAGAGAGACCTGACTCCTACTTTCCATAAAATTGTGCCCTCTTCGGCTTCTGTCTGCTGCTTTTCTCTCAGAGCTGATTCAAGAAACTGAAAGAAAAGGTTGAGTGCCTTGTACTTTTGCCTCCCCTGTTTCTACAGTAACATATGAAGTGGTGCTTACAAATCTCGCTTCACATTTACAAGTGGAAGCAAGCAAACAAGCAAGCACGTGACTCTTTGTGCTCCTGCTTCTCACATCTAACATTTGAACCATTCCAAGGACCAAACTAGATGTCTACTTCAACAGGACTGCTGGGGGGGGGGGGAGGAAGCTGTGTTTAAGCTCCCATTTTTATCAGCAGCTGCATTAGTGACACTCTGACACAAAGAGAAAAACACATCCATGTCAGAGTCAGCATAGATTAGAAGATTTTGATGTGAGGTCACAATCTACTTACTGTAACAGGATACCCTCCAACTTTTCAGGAGGGTAAATCAGGACGCACACACCTTGCACCATGCGCCCCGCCCTGCCCCCCACCACCTTAGTTTCTGTGGCTCGGGCCATGGCAACCTGAGGCCTACCTGCATGGCTAATCTCAATGACAACACTGTCCCCCCTCTGCTGCCACCGTGGCCTCTGCCTCGACACCACTGTGGCCACAGTCTTTGCTGTTGGCACCGTGGCTGTCACCATACTTTCGGAAACTGGCGCCCACTCAGGCCTGAGGTTCCACATCCCTGATTTTAAAGAATAGCAACGGATCTGGCAAATTCAGAAAATGGTTTTTAAAACCGTCATTTTGAACGTTCCTGCAATTCTTGAATGGGCATGGGACCCACAAAGTTGTCCTCAGCATGTTGCCATCAACTTCAGGAAGGAGCAACAAAGCAATGAGCACTAGGCTCAAATGGCATAGTAAAGATGGTGATTCAAAACTGTGAAACCACATCACATGAGGAGCAACTCATATGAAGTGGCATCCACATGAGATTGTCCACAATTTAGTTCCTCGGGTAACTGCTGGTGGGGAATTTTGCTAAATTTAAATAAAGTCTTTTTCTAGGTGGATCCTTGGAGTTTTCTGTAAAGTTCCTATAACTGCTTAAATATTCTGATATGTTCAAAAAATTCTGCCTGGGCAGCAGAATTTTACAAGGGGGGGGGTCATATTCTGTTATGAAAGTAAGCACATTTTGTTTTTTTAAATTAAATGCCTGCAGCTGAATTCTCTCCATACAGTAATATAAAAATGTTATATTTTCAGATTTACATTAGTGAAAATGAAAGCACTTGAGTTTTCAGTCCTACTCAGAACTGCTCCTGCTTCTTTCCTGAGCAGGAATACCCTGCTTGCCAAGACACTGATTTTGTGGGTGGAGATAGAATCAGCTTGTAAAATATGCTTGCTCTGTAACAGAATCCATTTCCTGCTTACTACAATATTGCAACACACCCACAAATAGAAACTAGCACTTCCTTAAGGCAGAGACTTTTACATGTAAGTACTGTATTGATATTTTCAAACACTGTCCTTAATGTCCTTGAAAGTAAAAGCTGAAAGAAACTGTGTTTTTCTACTCAAAACCAAAAGAACATTATCTTAAAACTTTTTTTTTCCTGTTGCAATTGTTCTAAAGTTCCTCAAGTAGGGCTTGTTTTTTTTAATCAGCAGTGTTTATGGGGTTTTGCTGTTTGGCTATTTGACAGTCTAAATTCTGGAATGGGGAAATGTAAACAGTTCCACTTTATAACTGCTGATGCAAAACTGCTTTAAACCAGGCCTCTGATTTATGAGAGAGTGTGGCAAAAAACAACAAAAATGCTGCAATCTTGTGCATGCTTACTTTGAAGTAAATCTTACTGAACTCAGAGAGGCTTTCTTCTGAGCAAATTTGTATAGGAGAAGGCTGTGCAAAACGTTACAGCATATGCATTTAGAAGAATAACAAATTAAATCACCATCCTTGTAATAATGAATGCTGGTGAAGAACTCCTATACATGATTTCACACAGGAACCAATTTTGCATGTTTCATTGTAGTTAGAGCCAACTTAATCAAACCTATAAATAAAATTACAACTGCTGCTATATGTGCAGGCGGAATCCAGAAATAATTTACTCAAGTTACTCCACAGTAAATATACATAGGAGTGTAATCTAAGGGAGGATACAGACCAACCTTTAATATGTGAATTTTCGAAAGAGTGAAGTTTTTAAATTATTATTTTGTGGAAATTAAAGCACATACAGTAGTTGTAAAACATTTGAAATGCCACGTAGTTCTTCCCAACTTCCTCTAAAAGACAGAAGAGGCTGGTTAGCATAAGACTGCATAAACATGGGCAGAATTGCTCTTTGATAACGCAGGGCAATGTGTCATGTACAGTAAGCCCACACTGAACGTGTGTACATTCAGCTTTATATGCTTGGCAAAAAAACCTTTAAAATTTTGCTCTCAGTTTATGTTTGGCTTGGTAGGCTACAATCTGTACAGGCCTGCCCCTACACAGAATACCATATGAATTAGTGGTACCGAGAATTTTTTCACAGTAGTATTTCTGTTGTGGTAACAGTACTTTTCCCAAAGGCTAATGGGAACTAGTGCTATTGTGTCTGTATTTCTTGGTTTGCCTCATCGTATGTTGGGGCCGAACACAGGGAGGAAAGATTAGCTATGTGGGCCAGCTGTGTATATACATTTGTACACTGTAAATGTCAGCGCTTTTCTTCAGCTGGAACTCACCAGAACTCAGTTCCAGCACCACTTAGGTGGGAACCATTGCCATTATAAGGGAACAAGGGAGGCATTCATGGTGAGTTCTGGCACCTCTTTCCAGGGCTAGAAAAATAGCAGTGGAAAATGTCATTTTGCACACACAAAATACACAGCAAGTGGATCGTTTGGTAGTAAGTTTATACTTTCCTGAACCCCACTTGGTTCCCCAACCATCCCTTAGTTTAGGGGTTGTCAACCTGGTCCCTACCACCCACTAGTGGTCATTTCAGGATTCTAGGTGGGGGGTAGGGGGTTCTACAGCACAAGCTGAATCCTCCTTCCATTGAGCACTGGTGGGCAGTAAGGAAATTTTACTATCAAGAAAGATGCATTAGGGGGCAGTAGGTATAAAAAGGTTGACTACCCCTGCCTTAGTTCATTTGCATGAAGCTGGGAAGCCAAGTCAAAGTACAGTAGTACCTCGGGTTAAGAACTTAATTCGTTCTGGAGATCCATTCTTAACCTGAAACTGTTCTTAACCTGAGGTACCACTTTAGCTAATGGGGCCTCCCGCTGCTGCTGCACCGCCACACGATTTCTGTTCTCATCCTGAAGCAAAGTTCTTAACCCGAGGTACTATTTCTGGGTTAGCAGAGTCTGTAACCTGAAGCGTCTGTAACCCAAGGTACCATTGCATGGTCAAGAAAGAAGGTTGTAGCATGGAACAGCGCAGGGGGAAATAATGACTAGAAAATGGAGAATGAGGGATATAGGAGACATGAACTTGATGAGATGAGGGCAATCAAAAGGGGGCTTAGAAAATTTCTTAAATAAAAGGGACTGCATGTGGTAGAGAGTAGAGAGAAAGGGGACGACTGTAGCAATGGAGGATGCCAGGGAGTCTAAGCAAGAGCAACCAGAGTGCAATTTGTTGTATTGATTTCAACTAATCAACCAGTGTTTGGTTACAGGTCTTTTATCATTTGCTGAAAACATACCAAATGCTGAGTGTTTTATGGCTGTGTGAGCATGATTAAAATTCAGAGTAAATGCTTACCTAGGCATTATTTTAATAGGTTCCAGATCTTTAGGGAGAAGACTCTAATTCAATTTTAAAATAAAACATATTTTCTAGCTAGGCAGTAAACAAACAAAAAACCCCAAAACAAAACCCACCATTTCTTAGATGTCACCTTGGAGATTCAGCAAACCAAGCCACGGAAATGATTCCTGATAGAAATCACTTATTGCTCAGACTTACAGCAGTGGCTACGTTTACAAAGGAGCTGTACTCCACAGCTCTGTACAGGCTGGGGGGGAAAATAGCTATTTGCTGCGGTCAAGGTCTCTGTTCAAAGTCCGATAAAAATGCCGATATGCTGCTTTAGTAAGTGCTTTCGTCTACTTACTTGCGTAATACTTGGCAGCTATACATTTCTAAGCAGTCCTTGACGTGGGAGAACTGCCGACTCTGCTCTGTATCCTTGCTTTTGCTTTTCTTTGTGCCTCACCCTACTCAGATTGCAGCTAAATAACTCTGCTTTTGCTGTATATATCTTCTTTTTTAAAAAATTAGGTTGGTATTCTGCCATGGCTATGAGAAGCTTGCTTTCTGACCATAGCCACTATGTCGAATCCTTTCGTCTGTTCCTTGAGAATTCGACGGAGCATCAATGCATGCTGGAATTCATTCAGAAGAAGCTGCCAGGCATATTATCAAGGTAAAAGCATCAGGCATCTTATCAGAAGGACAAACTTTTGATACGCTCTGGCATACATGATGTTTCTTTGTGTGTGCAACGGAGCCAGGTTTGCAAGAACTGCTGGAGAGTATCGGACTGCTGTTTCTGTCCTTCCCTCCCTCCCTCCCTTCTCTAGATCTTTAATGTTTTACTTCAGACATTCCAGTAGAAAGCTTTTCTTTGTGATAGGCTTTGCCTAGCAGAAGACAGAGATCTCATTGTTTGCTCTCATGTAAATATAGCTCAACTTCCACGTATGCACATACAATAATGAACAGCAATCACGATTTATCAGGATGTACTTTCCTTTGCAAAACAAAAACAAAAACCCTAATAAAAAAAATTAACCTCATTGATTATTCATGTGTGGAAGCTAAATAAACACATGTGGCGTATTGGCTTAGGGGACCTGAATGCCCTAACCACAAGAGTTTGTCTAAGCATAGGATCCTAGTATATGGAAGCCCCATAAAAGTGTGCACTTTGGAACAAACCACTGAGACCCAAACCTGCTCCTTTCTTCATAACTCCACCTGTTCATTTATATAGGCCCATCCTGGGTTCTGCTAAACTAGACCAAGACCATTTCTGGGTTCTGCCAAACTGAGCTGATTGAAAATTTCTGAAAATGAATGTCATTGAACTTTTTTAATACCTACTGATCTCTTACTGTTTTAAAAAGATGCACTCTTTACCTCCTCAGTATAGGCAGTGGGAAATCTACAATCAATATTCTAAGTGTTGGTGGCGGGGCAGGTAAGTAAAGTATGAAGACATGCATTTAATTATTTGAACTACAGGTTTATATTATGTATATAACAGATTATAATTCATTTAATTTACAGTTTAGTTTCCCAGGTAGCTGTCAATAAAACCAGAAGCAATAGGATTATCTCTACAATATGTTGTATGGAGGAAAAAGACACAGAATGACATCCAGTCTAATCCTTTGTATATTTAAAGTTTTGAGGTTTTACATTTTGTATGTTGAGACCTAGATGGTGAATAGTGGGATATATAGATATAGATATGTATATATTTATACACACACACATTTCATTATATATATATATATATATATATAATATTAGTAAGAGCTGGGCATTGTTGAATCCACTGAAATTAATGTGTTTGATGTACCTAATTCTGCATTGGATTGGGGCGATAGGTAGGAACCATGATGGTGTACATCATATCCGACTTTGGATTCCATCTTCTTTTCCATTACCAAGTATTATACTAGTTGACCGAACGTCCAGAACACAGAGGGGATATGAAAAGGACCGACTGAGCATCCTCCACTAAAAATTGTTGTATGTCGCACTGTGACTACGATCTTAAAACAGCTTAATTTGTAAATTAATCAACTTGTACCATTATTGTCTTATCAGTAGTGTGAGTGGCGAGGGCAAAGAGAATAGGCAAACATGGGGAAGAGACAGATAAGTGAGCCATTTAATACACTATTTTGTTTTCTGGTGATAACCAACTAGATATCAGATCACACTATCCTTCATGGTGGTCATGCTCATTTGCTGCAGGACTGTGCAAGCTTTTTTCAATGGCTGTTTTTTTTTTAAAATACTGAATTTAGCAAAGAAGAAAAAGAAAGAAAACTAGAGAAGGGAAAGAAAAAAGAAACCCACCAGCTCACATTAAAAATACAATTACTATTAATACATCCATCTTTATTTTATCTAAATATTTATAAACTGCACTTTTGTTTTTTAAAAATATGAGGTAGTGTACACCATATGAAAGTTAAAATGATACAAAAAATCATTTTTAAAAAAACCATCGATAAATACAGGTTGGCCAAAAGAAAGTGTGCATTTTAGAGGCCACTCTAAACACAATTATAAGGTGGATTTGTAAGAAGGCAGGAATGATTCCTGCTGAACCTCTGCTAGTAGGGCACAGTAGTAAAGACTCACTCCCTAGTAAAGGCCAACCAAAACCTCTGGGGGCACGAGGAACCACAAGAAGTGCCACATCAGAGGATCTCAGTGACTGAGGTGGAGCATTAAACACAAATTAATACAGACCATCCAAATGTCCAAACAGGTATTCACACAAAGTTAGTGTTTATAAGAAATGTGCTCAAATTTAGCAGGGGCAGCAAGGTCCTCAGACCATTGTGAAACAGAAGGTGGGTGATCGTCCTTACAGGCTTGAAGTAGAAACGTATTGGTGAGGGAAGGCTCACAAAATCCACTTTTGTCGCCCTGCTATTAATACCCATGCTACAGGGCCATAATTAAAAAGTACATGGATATTTGCACATATCAAGGTTTTTGCTACTACACAGTCACTAGTTTAGTGACTGAACAACCCTGACAGAGAGCACCACTTGTTCTGGGAAACAGCTCTACTCACCAGTGTGGCAGCAGGTACTATGGAGTCATGTAACTGTCTGCCATGACTGTTAGCCATAGATAGGCTCATTCTCCATTATTTTAACTAATCTTAAAAAACAAACTCAGGTGTGCTACCAAAAGGCAGCTATCCATCAGTCTTAGTGCAGCATTATCATTGACTCTTGGTATGAGAAGCACCCGACAGTAAAATGCGTAAAAGCAGCGTCTTTTAGACAGTCTCACTATAAGTGGCAATAACTAATAGTGAGAATGTGTTATGCCAGTCCATAAAGAAAGTACGCCTTGTTTTCACCCTTTATCTTATTAATGTTGCCAACTCACACCCTCCAATCACAAAAGGCATTTGCTGTGCTATAAAACAGCAAATGTGCCATAAACAATCCATTTCCTTGAAAAGTTTAATTGGAATCTTAATGGTGAACATAGTGATAGCCTTTTTAAGGTAATTGTATCGGAGAGCTTAAATAATTCCTATAGCTTAATTTGAAAGTTGTTGATAGCGCAGGCTGCCGCATATTCAGCTCTTGAATCCCCCAAAGCACTTGTTTGCATATAAACAACTAACTGAACTCAATTAAGGTCGTAGATTAAGCTACAAATCAAAGGGGTTGGGGGAAGGGGTGGTTTATAATAACCTGGTAGGGGTGGTGAGTTGATTACTTGTGAATGGGGAACAATACAATAGAAATGTGACTTTTTTAAAATTTGGAGGAACAGGTTTTTATATCAGTACAGAGTTTTGATTTTTTTAAAGGAAAGAATAGTATTTGTACGGAAGGCACAGGAACTTCTGTATGCTTAGAATTAAGGACCAGTGTGCTTCTGAGCACATGCTCAGCTCATGAATTTGTTTACAGGATCAGAAATGTTGTCATTGTTAATACACACACACCCCGCTCCTGGTTTCCCCTCTACCCCCGAATATTCATTTCAACAATCTTTTTTTTTGGGGGGGGGAGCCTTTTGTTGCTGTTATTGTTAAACCATTAGGAGTCAGATACACTGGTCAATATGCCACAAATCACCCTCAGATCTACCAGATCAGCCTTCTGCCAACCCATCTACATTGCTAAACCAAGTAATATATGTTGAGTCCTGTTACAAATACTGGCAGCTCTCCCTCTCATTCTCTCTCTGTCCCCCCCCCCTTTTTCTTTCTTGTGTCCTAGGAGAAGTTGACCTTCAGATTCTTGTAGAAGTACGGGCTAAATATCCTGGAGTCGTCATTTGTAACGATGTGGTAGAACCAAGTGATGAACAAATAAGCGCCTACAAAGGTATGAGCGCCGCAACCCCAGAGTCGGTCATGACTGGACCTAATGGTCAGGGGTCCCTTTACCTTTTATGCTTTCTTGGTTTCATTTCTTAAAAAGCAGAGTACAAAATAATTTGCCAGATACTGTATTTTTAGCTCTATAACACGCACCCGATCATAACACGCACGTAGTTTTTAGAGGAGGAAAATCCGTAGGCATGCCACCCGTAGGCATTCCCTCCATAACACGCACAGACATTTCCCCTTACTTTTTTAGGAGGAAAAAAGTGAGTGTTATGGTGCAAAAAATACGGTAATTTGTCCTATCTGTTGTATCATTCTCATCCCGGGAAGTAACACTTCCAGGGAGCATTCATTCATCACAATTCTCTCGCAAGGGAATGGGATAGCTATCATTTGATAGCATGGCAGTGATCCAGAGGAGAGCAACAATAGCTTAATCCCTTCTGAAGCAGAAGTGGAAACAATACAAGCGAAGACACTTGCTGCTGAAACTAAGAGGAATAGACTGCAACTGCCTGAAAAGTTAGGTTTGAACTCACTCCGAAGGGCTACTTCATATTAATTTCCTAGATGGATATATACAAACGTGGATATAGACGCACACAATATGTATGTTGCCAGTTCTGATGAAAGCACATGTCTGTTTTGACACGTGTGTTCATAATGGGAAGCTAATTTGTTGTATACTTGGCAAAGTAGGCGTATTTCCATTCCATGTGAAGTGGACCTGAGAGATACTAGCTCTCTTCAGATGTTCAGCCTGACCACATAAGCACCAAAGGAGAGTTGTTGGACGGGAGCATGCAGGGCATCCCTGACCCCCAGTGTCCCTGTGTGTGCTAGCCCCACTTCTACTCCTGACTTTTGGAGGAGTGGGACAGAGCCAGCACTCAAGGGCTGCGGGTGTCAGTGGCATAGCCTGGGTTGCCAAGTGCCCGGGGCTGTGCAGAGGGGTGGGGTGCGGATAGAAATGGATGAAGTACATTCAACTGCCTAACAGTATCCACGTCACCCAGGAGATCGCAGCCACAGAGAGAAGAAAATAAGACTTGTTCCATAGTCTGGAGAGGTCACCTTCCTAGAGAAGCTTTTTTCAATGCAGCCCAGTGATGGAAGCGCACAGCTGTATTGAGGCAGCACCGGGTGTTGAAATTTTGTGCCCCCTAACATTTTTGCACCTGGGACAACTGCCCCTGCAGCCCTCCACTCCCTACTACACCACTGGCTACATGTTTTTGCCCTCCCATGGTCAGGCTGAACACCTGAAAAGGGCCATTGTCTTGTGGACTTATTTGGTCATTAGCCCAATTCTGATTTTTGGCATAGGGAAGCCACATTGACAGGCATTAGCTTTCTTTCCCTACTCTTCATTTCCTGATGTCTCCTCACAGACTGTCTAGTGATTAAATAGAAGCAGACTGAGTCAGATTATTTTCAGTGCTGATATGGATTACTGCTCAATGATCTCTGAGTTTAAAATAGCAAATTAGATTTGAACTGTGGTCGTATAGGCTAGAGACTGATAAATGGAAGAGAGGACTGAGCAACAGCCGCAGCATTCAGAAGTGGTAGCCCATGTCCAAGAAGGAATGCAAAGGAAGAGAGATAAGTGCAGGTGGAACATTTCTCATCTATTTCACAGGGATGTATCCTAATCGGAGCCCTGAAAAATGTAAGACTTTGATTTGATGTGCTAAGTTAAAGCTGTACCAAAGCACAATGTGTTTGAATGCTATGTGTATACAAAGCCCTTAGAGCACCTCCAGACTGTCATTTTTTTCAGGTGGGATTCAATTATATTCTGGCAAATTCAGGTTGTATAATTACAGCTGATTGGGAGGTCTTGTGCAGCAAACCCTGCTCCCCCCCCCATTGGACTTTTTGCTATAAGGAAAGTGACAGGGAATTGCATTAGAAAGTGAGGGAATAACACTTGCTTTGATGCCAAATAATCTCTCCAACAAATAACCAATGCCACCTAATCTCCCTGAACACAAGGGCCTTTCCACACTCTCTGTTTATAGTGCTGCTATAGTTGCTGTTTGATCCAATGTAAAAACTGAATTTGTAGCTGATTGTTTGCACCTTTGGTCACATTAGAGAGTGAGGGTGGGGCTTTCCTATGCACACTAATGGTTGTTTCTGTGAGAAAGGTTTTTTGGCTGTAGTCACACCCCTTGTGTATCCTTGTGCTCCTCCAGCCATTAAATGTCAGAGCTGAAAATGTGGATAGCAATTTTGTAGCTTTTTGTGTGTGTGTTTAGTGTCTAGTATTCCCGAATTCTATTATTGTGGGAGTACAGGAAATTAGAAGACGAACTATGGGTCAACCTGAGCTATGGTGAACCTGGTTATTGTGATGAAATTTTGTCTGAAGCTAATGATTGCTTTCACAGGCAGTACAGTGGTACCTCGCAAGACGAATGCCTCGCAAGACGAAAGTTTTTCGTTTTTTGAGTTGCTTTGCAAGACGAATTTCCCTATGGGCTTGCTTCGCAAGACGAAAAACGAAAACGTCTTGCAAGTTTGTTTCCTTTTTCTTAAAACCGTTAATACCCAGGGTGCATTGCTTGAAGAGGTGCAGTTGCGACTTGACTTTGAGGAGCAACTCATAGCATGCGGTGTGGTAGCCTTTTTTGAGGTTTTTGAAGACTTTGGTGATTTTTGAAGCTTTTCCAAAACCGTGCTTCGCAAGACGAAAAATTCGCAAGACGAAAAAACTCGCAGAACGAATTAATTTCGTCTTGCGGGGCACCACTGTACTTTGACTCAGCACCATCATTCCTATCTGCCATCTCTCTCCTCTGAATAGCTCACAAATTCACAGTTTGCACTGGCCAGAGGGAAGCAGCATGAAACAGACATCTCCCAAACCACTCAGCAGCCATCCCCTCTACATAGAAACCAGGGCAATGCTTGCACACATGCTAATAAAAAATTATTATTATTATTATTATTAGTCACACAAATGGATATATTGAGGATCCATTCCAGTTTTTTCACAAAAGTCAGATTTCTTGTGGTAGATTTTCTTTTTTTAAGTATAGTATTCTGGCATGCTAACTGAATAATGATGACATCATGTGACAGAGAGTATGCAAAAAAGAAAAAGTCCAGAAAACAAAGCCACTATACCACTATAAATGGAAATGGCCCTTAGAGCTATTGGGGGACTTTCTGCCAAGAAACAGTGGAATCAAAGCTTGGAACAGGGTTCAAGTAGCTGTGAAACAGGTTCCTGGTTTTCTTTATTTCTGATAACTTTTGGGGCACCAAGAAAGGAGCATGCCATATGTCATGCTTTCAGCCTGGGATGCTAGAGAAATAGCAAGTATTTTCTGCAAATCAGGAAAGCACAGCAACCACCTCTGTCATTCAGTGCTCACAACTATGCTTAATTCAGAACTGATTTCATGAGGAGTTAAAATGAGGCACAATGGGGTTAAGTTTCCTATGGATTCTGGGGAATCAAAAGCCAATTGCATAATATATGAAAATACCTTATACACAATCTAGCCAATGTTATCAGTGGATATCAAAAGTAGCTGCCATTGGGCTTATCTGCTTCAATTTCTCCCATGGAACCAAGTAACATTTTATGCTGTTTCACTTTGTCCAGATAGCTTTACTCTACAACCCAGCCACTGCCTTAAGATATTTCTTCTACATTGTCCTGTAAATCTAAAAAGTGACCCTGGAATCTGAGTTCTAGATATAAAATTGCAAGTATATATAAGAACATATTTTCCTCCTGATTGGATTCATCAAACTACTTGAGAGGATGGAACTGGGGACAGATTCTGAAACATCCGTATGATTTATGCTGCCCCAAAGTGTTCCTTCCACTTTGCTTTGCTCTGTGGAAGTGAGTGAATGGAAGGTGGCACCTGGCAGCTCAAGACTGGTCCCGCCAGTGACACCAGCGCGTTGTGCTTTTTAAAATATATGGCTTTCAGCTGCTTTAAAATTTGAAATGGAAATTTATTCTGTATTTGCAATTGAGATAAACTGTGGAGCTATCATATTTTAGAACGAGTAGCAAAGACAGAAAACCTTGAGAACATAAAGTTTTCTTGGCACAAGGAGACTTCACTGGAATATGAAAGTCGAATGAAGGCAAGCAAAGAAGTGAAGAAATGGAACTTCATCCACATGATCCAGGTAAAGGGAGGCCTCAATTGTGGGACAGTTGTGGTTGTTGGGACAATCGTTTTCCTCATGCTACCTTTCGTGTGCGATAATACCACTTGAATGTCAAAGCGGTGCTCCAGTCCCTTGTATTCTATAAGTTTGTTCTGTTCACAAGCAATAATATATTTGTTCCAAACAATCAAGCCCAAAGAACACAAAGAATGCATGCAAAACTTGCTGTAGAATAAGGACAAAACTCTGCTTTGCATTAGCTAGCGCATCTGAATAAAAAGTGAGTAGAGCTTAATATTGCTGCACCCCTTTCCCCTCAGCTATGCGGTTCTCTGGCACAAAACTCAGTTCCACCCCCAGCTTCCCTGCTTCACCTCTCTCTGAGGTCTACCGCCCTGCGCTGGATTTCTGCTAGATATTTTAAACCCTCTTTATTTTTGCTGCCACCACCAGGTACGAGAATTGCCAGCTCTAGCATAGCCAGTCAAGAGGCAAGTGTGTATGATACAACAATAACAGAATAAAATATTGCAGAATTATTCAGTGCTCAGAAGCATGCGGTTTCAGTTACATACTTTCTTAGATGCTGCTTTAATCCATAGAAACACCTCTACCTAACTCCATGCTTCTAAATGTACCTAAGCAAAATCCACCCTCCCCATCTATCCCAAATGCTGTCCCTACTTGCTAAATCCGTCACAATCTACCCAACACTATCCATCCAGTTCCGAGGACCTTCTGAGGGACCTCAGGGTGAGAAGAGAAGTTACAAGGAACCAGGCGGAGGGCCTTCTTGGTAGTGGAACCTGCCCTGTGCAATACCCTCTCATCATATGCCAAACACAAACTTTCTGGAGACATATGAAGGCAGCCATGTATTGGGAAATGTTTAATGTTTGATGTTTTGCTGTGCTTTTATTATGCTGGAAGCCACCCAGGGTGGCCGGGGCAAGCCAGGCAAAAGGCTAGGGTATAAGTAACAGATTATTATTATTGCTATTAATTCTACAACCTTCTCCCACCAGTATTTGAAGTCCCACCTGAACACTACTCACTTCCAATATTACAAGCACACCCCATTCCCCTCCCAATCCAACACTGACCCTAATCCATGTACTGTCCTGAACCCCCGGCCTACCTGGCAGCAAGTCAGTATGTCAAGTCCAAAGTCCAAGTCCAGGGACCGAGCCACACAAGCAAATTCGAAAGCTCAGGAAATGCAGTCCAGTGTCAATCCAAGTAGCCAAGTCTGAAGTGCTGTAGTCAGAATACAGTTCAGAGTCACACCCAAATCACAGTGCAGGAACATGCAAGTCAAGACCCAGCAACATGGGGAGTTGAGCAGAAACAATGCCTCAGCTTCCCTTTTCTACCTTGCCTGCTGATTGCAGCATCTGGGCTTGATGAGGCATGTGACCCTCACCTGTTCCAAGCCCACTCCAGCTGAGGAATCACACATCCCAGAGCTAATGAGCTCCACCTGGCCAGCTATGGGCCCTTGCCTGCCTCAGCCTCCTGCAGCTCCCTATACCTTAGAGCAGTGATGGCTAAACTCGGCCCTCTAGCTGTTTTGGGACTACAATTCCCATCATCCCTGACCACTCGTCCTGTTAGCTAGGGATGATGGGAGTTGTAGTCCCAAAACAGGTGCGGCGCCCAGTTTAGCCATCACTGCCTTAGAGCCTGCTGTGTTCATGGAGACAGGGGCTCCTCTGGCTCTGGTGATAGGTCCTGCTGCTCTGGTTCCTGTGCACTGACCCCCATCCCCACCCCATCCTCCGTAACCCTGTGAATACTTCCTATACCAACTTCTCCTTGCCCCGCCCCACCTTGTTCCAGTGTGTTCCAGTCCTGGCTACACCCCTCGCCAGGATCCCCTCCCTCCTCTCCATTGTCCTGCCGGTTCATGATGCTACTTGCCTACACATTTAGCACAATACATACTACCATATATTACTTTACTGTAGTTGCTCTAATGTGTACGCAGTATCATTTAGACACACATCACAAATACATTTTTGGTTTGGATATATTTGAGTCATTTCACACAAAAATGGGAGCATTCATGGAAAAGCTTCAGTGAGTTCATTCTACATTAAAGTGATTCTTATATTTTCTAGATGCTGTATTATGTAAAAGACATCCCAGCTACTATCAGGTTTTTCCACAGCCTCTTGGAACCTGGGGCCAAGCTCCTTATTATTCTTGTTTCAGGTAAGTACTGATCTCAGTAGTTCAGGCACTGCTTATCTCAAGATTGAATTTCTGCAATGCGCTCTATGCAGAGCTTACTTTCTGCTTCCAGAAAGTGCAGTTAGCACAGAATGCTGCAGTGCGGTTGCTGACAGGAGTGAGGCCCACTCAACCTATAACACGCTCAGAGATACACACTGATTGCCATTTTCTTACCAGGCCAAGTTCAAGGCTTAACTACAGGTATATAAAGCTCTAAAGGCTTGGAACCAGTTTACTTGTGGGATCACCTTATCCCATACTCGACCGCTTTGATCTGTGAAACTGGCGCTGTTCCACATACCACATAATACTCATTCTGCAGTTTTAAGAAATCAACCTTTTAGTGCGGCAGTGCCTACACTTTAGAACTCACTACCTATTGATATCAGGCAGGTGCCTTCACTGCAGTCTTTTTGGCAACTGCTTAAAACATTTTCATTTAGGCATGGCTATCCAGACATTTAGATGCTTACATTCCCTCCCACCACCTTTTTACTGTTAATTATCTTTAAATGCTTTAAGTGTTTTTTGTTGAATGTTAATATTACTTGTAAACTGCTTGGGTGTATCATTACAATCAAGTGGTGTATAAATTTTGTTAAATAAATAAATACTGCCAAGTACAGTTCTTACACACTTCAAGGTTGTAATTTAGACTTCTATGTGATTTCCTATGAATGTGTCTGTTTTCATAATGGAACACCAAGACCCAGCTGCTTATACAAATCTATTTCTCAGAGATTAAAAAATACAAAAATTAAATTATCATACAAGTTATATAAAAATTTCTCATATTAAAATGCACCATAAAAACATTCTGATTTAAACAATCTTATCTATTTATGCACCCCTGTCCCAGTCTTCAACACACTTTTGACCATATAAATAGACTATTATACATGTGTATCAATTGTACACACCCAAACTCTACTTTTTAAAAAAAGGATTTTAAAATACTTGTGCTAATCTGCCCTTTCAGCCTCCTCCTGTGCATGTTTTCTTGGATATAAGTCCCACTGAGCTTAATGGAGCTTACTTGGAGTTTAATGGTGCATAGAATTAGCATGTCTATTCTGTAGCATCATGAACAGCTTCATAGATTAATGATATGCAATGAGTTCGAGAAATCTATGCAATATTTCTTCTGGTATTGGTACCACATAATTAGCAGCTAAAGTGGAAGTTAATCTCCTTTGTGGGGAGATACCTATTCTCATGATGTGGGGGAGGTGTGTCTTTTTCTATCTTCTAAACAAGGCGTATCTCTTACAAACACATTTATTTATTACAGTTATAATATGCAGTGCTTTTTTTCTAAAAAAATGTTTAGGGGTACTCTCCTTTTCTTACTCATATTGAAATTCTGCCCCTCAATGAGGCCAAACGTAGATTCACAAAATGTTTAGGGGTATGCGTACACCTGCATCCCCCCAAGAAAAAAGCACCGATAATACGTTATAATATAAAACTGAGGTAAGATAACCCTTTTTTCAAGAATGGAACTCAAAGCAGGATTTCTAGATTCCAGGCACAGAAGCTACACATGTTGAATCTCTGCAAAATTGTTGCATTGTGTATGAGTCAGTTACAATCTAGAAGAGTGATGGGGAATTATCAGTTTATTCAGCTAGGAATGGGGAAGGAAGAGCTTACTTTTTATCCCTGAATTGCACTGAGCCATTGAGTTAATTAAGACTGTCGCTTAAGCACTACAGAGGAAGTAAGGCCCATTCAATGCAGTGGATGTTTATTCTGAGTAAACATGCACTGGTTTGTGTGTTGCCCTCATTAGAAGGTTCCTGATTCTTTGGATGTCATGGAATGTAATGGAGTTGTCTATCACAGAGATACGAGTTAATTATATAAACATTAGAAGAATTCACAGAGTTATAAAATAGCTTTATAAAGTTCATAGCAGACGACAACAGCCCAAAATGTTCCATTAATTGCAGAATGTCCCCGTTTCCCCTCCCCTAACTGCACACAAATGTCACAACAAATGTTGCAAACAGAATAGGCACCAAGTCTGAAATCTCAACTCATGCAAGAAACCCAATTGTTCTTAATGAATCCATTAATCTGCTGCAGATTTTTCAGAATAGCACATGTCGTAACACCTGACTGCATGTGGCATTAAGTAAATCTCTACAATGGAGCTCTGTTGTGCTATTTGGCTGGCTCATTGCCCATGTTTACTGCCCATTTTGTTTAATATTGCGATACAGTGTAAAAAAAGAAAGAAAAAGAATCCCATCTTTGGCTGGTTATATTTGACACCTGAATAAGAAAGTTGTGATCAAGTCAATTGCAAAATAGAATACCAGAGGAAGTGGCATTTATATGTTCATGTGGATATAGTACTGAGGCAGCAGAGCAAATTGAACAGATTACACACAGCAGGTTTTAGTGCCTAATGGGCATCTTATGAGTACAACCAGCCAAAGTTAACTGTTTTCAAGTTCCACTGATTTCAATGGGCGAGTTAAACATGTATGAAAAGCTCTTCCATTAAATTCAATGGACCTAGCAAGTGATTGAATAGCCTAGTTTGTGCCTGAAGTGTCCTATTCAGTTACAACAGTGGCATATTTTTTACTAGGCATAACAGATATGATTTTGTTATGAGTTCTTCAAATGCATGCCTAATTTTATCTCTCATTTTGAAAATGTGTATCTGTTTAATAGTACAAATTTTAAAAAGGGGAGGATAGAATTCTTCACAAATGTTTGGTGCAGCTGTGGCTGCACTTTGCTCTTAAAACTGGGCCTCTAAACTGGGGGCTGCTTCTCCTCCATAAAGCTCACTGTGTGACTAAAATAATAAATTGGGTAGGGTTTATAAAAATGGCTGCCTTTCTATCATAGGAATACAAAAACAAAACAAACAAACAAACAAACAAACCAGGAACACAGCAGCACACAGTTGTGTGAATTACAGGGAAATGTAACTAAGAGCCATGCATACATCTCATTACATTGAGCATGGTTAAACTGTTCCCAGACTGCATTTTTTCCTGATGGCACATCGAAGATGACATGTCTGCATGTTGCCTCCCCCAAATCCTCACACGTAGAATACGAGCATGCCAGGGAGAAGTCCCACCTAGCAAACCAATTCCCACAGCCATTTCAACATCAAGAGATGTTGCAGTTCTGTATTTCGAAAGTAATTGTCTCTATGTGCCCAGATACAAAAGTAAACTTAAAATCAACTCCAAGAGAAATTTGAAAAGTTTAATCTACTTTATGGAAGAGGCTGAAGTACTGTATTTCACTGCATAATGGTTTCACCACCGCATAATAGCCGCACCCCCTTTCTTCTGTCCCTAAAATCAGTCCCAAAGCATTCAGGGGATTTCTGAGCACCAAGGGAATACCTCAAGGGTCATGTTGGTACAGGATGCTGAAGCAAGGGAGGGGGTAACAGGGAGGGCTTGTGACAACTGTAGACCTCCAGTGAAATAATAAGCCCTAATGAAGCTTAGGTAAATGTAAAGGGACCCCTGGCCATTAGGTCCAGTCGTGGCCAACTCTGGGGTTGCGGCGCTCATCTCACTTTATTGGCCGAGGGAGCCGGCGTACAGCTTCCGGGTCATGTGGCCAGCATGACTAAGCTGCTTCTGGCAAAGCAGAGCAGTGCACGGAAATGCCGTTTACCTTCCCGCCGGAGTGTGGTACCTATTTATCTACTTGCACTTTGACATGCTTTTGAACTGCTAGGTTGGCAGGAGCAGGGACCGAGCAACGGGAGCTCACCCCGTTGCAGGGATTCGAACCACGACCTTCTGATCAGCAAGTCCTAGGCTCTGTGGTTTAACCCACAGCTATACTGATAAAAAAAAGTATGCTTGAGTCAGTGTCCACTGGTGCCAGAGAACGCCCAAGTCTCAGTTTGGGCTGTAAACCCACCAGGTCCCTTTGCCTAGGCTAAGTTTGGCAAAGGAGATATAGAAGGGCAGCAGGGTAGGTTTGTGGCCCAGATACTAGTAATAATCAGGAGAGGAGATATGGATAGACATGAACGGTAAGATAGGTGCAATGGGGAAGGGGGAAGGCTATCAAGGAAACCATGGGGTTAAGTGGAAGAGAGGCAAGGGAATAAAAGCACTAGACCAGGTGAAATAGGAAAAACAGCAACAGAAGAAACCATCTTTGAAATAATACTCCCACTTAAATAATACATAAAAGCAATTTCTGCAGTTCACCAATGTGACACCTGTGAAAGACTTGCTGTTCTTTGGCAACTCCTGTGCTTTTCAGCGGAGCTTGTCCATGTAGGAGTTCTTAGCAGATTCTTCTCGGTGTAAACTTTCCCCTACAGAAGTAATAGGGGATATTCATGAGAAACTGGGAGTAGAGGCTAAAAGGAGCAAAATGGTAAGGACACGGTTTGAAGGCTTCAGATCCTCCTACATTCTGCTTGTCAACAAGACCGAGGCAGCTCTGAAGAGTTATGTAGTGTTGTTTTTAAGATAACAGTCTCCCCACACATTCAGTTCTCAACAAAGTATTGAAAAACAAAAGTAGTGCCATATGTTGCATCTACAGGGAGTGATTATTTTAATGTGCCAGTCAGGTAGTGTATAATTGCTCCGTTCAGAAATGGTGTTGAGTCACAGAACACTGACACCAGCACATTTCCTGCAATTAGTGCTCTGCATTCATTTTCCGCCAGGTGGAGAAGGGAGGTGGGGGGAAATATACACAAATTTGTTGTGCGGCATCGATTCTAAACCGCCAGAGTGTTTATGTTTCAGAAAGAAACTGTTTAAAGATATACTGCTTTCCAAAAAGGCAGGCAAATGGCTTTATTAGCAATGGGGATTTGCAGTCATACCTCTCAGCAAGCCCTCATTAGTCTTGAATTTATTGCTTTCCTACCCAATGGGGCTGGTGGCTTTGGCCTTTTATAAATGATTCACATCAGAAATGCTGAATCATGCCACCAAGGGTACCAAATAAATGGATTAGCCTGAATTCACTTCCCACTGTTCCTGCATGTGGCTATATATATATATATATATATATATCCATCCGCAGGATCTTATCTGTGTCCCTTATGCTAGTTTTTAGTAGATTTCTATAAGAATAGCTCCCTTGTCACAGTAGGATGCAATCTGACTGGCCTAAGGTTGCCAAATGTTCTTTATATTTTGAGATATCCCCTATTCCAGAACTTCACAGATGAGCAGAACATAATGGATGTCCCTTATCAGAGAATCTTGTCATTTCATACTTCTTGGAATAGACACCAAAGCTCTTTGATGTCTTGGGCTGCTTGCTTCTCTTTGGCCTGCTTTAAATCGGTGTAATTGTTTGTCAGTGGTCTGGCATTTCCTTGCAGCTTAGCCTCAACGCTAGGCAGTGGCCTCTTTTAAATGTGCATACATTGGGCAAGTTCTCTGAGTCTTGACAAAATTCCATGAAAATGAATGGGGTTTTAATTGGTCAGCATGACGCAGATAATAATCCTGCACGGACTTGCACAGGTGAGATTTATTTCCTATTAAGCAGGCATAGGATCTGGCTGAATGTTCTATTCCTTTACTTTAAATGGGCTAAATCCATGAGTAATTTGAGAGCTGTGACATAAAAAGTTTGTTGGTTTGTTTATAACATTTCTACACCACTCTTCAAGCCCCCAGAAAGTATTTCTAAATGATAATAAAACAATTCATCAAAAAGCAGGGAGCTTCTAGGCTCTTACTGTTTTGCAGATGAGATCCAAGCAGGTTGCACAATTAAGGTAGATTTGGCACTCTTGTCAATACACTCACTCAACACACCTCTTGCTCCTCTGGCCTGGAACCAGTGTCTGAGGTGAGGGCATGGAATCCATTTTGCAACTCCAGTGACACAGTATGGCTCCTGACAGTCCTCCTTCTTTGTGCTATGTTCCTCCAGGAGTTTGTTTCCAGCAATGGGTGATTTCCCTCTTCCATAAGGGCACCTCACCTGCATTGCTGTTCCGGGCTAGTCCTCTCTTCTCTATTGAGAAATTCCTCTTCTTGCCCAGTAGCTCAAAGTGTGGACAGGCGGGCCTCAAGTTGCTGTACCTTGACTTCCAGCAAGGCAACCAGCTTGCACTTGCTACAGGTGTAGTTCTGCATGTTCACAGGCAGGAAGAGAAACATGGCACAGGTGTTGCAGTCACTGCAGCAGTTCCCTCGCCGTCCATGTCTCTTGGCCCTAGGCACACCATGAGACATCACTCTGGGCCTCTCCTTCCAACTCCCCTGCTAGATGCCCTCAAAAACACCCCTGTTTACAAGTCCTATTCATGAGCTCCTGGTCATGGGCTCCCAGAGGCTGCAAAAAGCTAAATAGAACTGCTGCTGGCTGCTAACTCCTTCCCTGTGACATGATGCCATATAAATTCCCCACAAACAAACCAGTACAATTGCTCAATAAACATATGATGTATAGCCTCTCCACAAACTTTGTTCAACTATATTAGGATGAATGCTTCATAAACAGATCACCTGGGAGCTAGCCTAGTATCGTATCAGGATTAAATTAGCAACCAGAACAGAGCAGATAATCTTCAATGCTGAAACTGATGAGCGAGTTCTACTCATGTATCAGCCACTTTAGTTTTGCCTCTAATTAGACATTAGAGTCTAATGTCTAATAATTTCTCAATAGTTCATCTCTGTTGGCATTATAGGGGGGAGGAATTCACACAGTGCTATTACCGTAGGTATATTACACTGACTTTGGAATCCACTAACGCAGGCATCCCCAAACATGGCCCTCTGGATGTTTTGGGACTACAACTCCCATGATCCCTAGCTAACAGGACCAGTGGTCAGGGATGATAGGAACTATAGTCCCAAAACATCCAGAGGGCCAAGTTTGCCTATGCCTGTACTAACCAGTAGTTCAAGCAAACCATATCCTCATTAAGATCAAGAATTTGGGAAAAGTTATCTTGTAATGTATAACCATGGTTTGTACTTGAAAACAATCCTAGCACCACCACTGATGGTTTCAGGTGGTGTTAGGATGGCACTTCTGCTGGCAGAGAGAAGTGCAGATGGGGGATGGGAGCTTCTCCATGGTGGAGGTCCCAGCTGCGCCTTAGCAGGTAAAAGCTACTACCAGCAGTTATGTTTACTCAGAAACAAACCCTGTAGTATTTAATGAGGATTTTTGTGAAGTACGTTTTCATAGGATTGCAAGCTTGGCATCCAGTGTGTCCTCTCCTGAATTTGTTCATGCACTCACTTATTCATACTGGACCCATAAATGGCTGACATTTGTAAAAATTCCTCTCCTCATATGGACAACCATACATATCTTGATGAGATATCGAGGAAGAGGCAAAAATCTAAGGGCTTGTTTACATAATCAGTTAAACTTGAATAACACCTCCTTACTTCAACTTCTGATTTGATTGCAGATTCAGAGGATGAATCAAAAGCTGAAAAGAGTTAAACGAAAGTCAATAACCTGCTAAAATCAAAGATTTGCTTTCTGACTAGAGATGAGATAATGAGAGGACATTCTAAATGTTTTCTCCTCTCCACCCCCATCCCACCCTATGAATGTTCTGTCCCTTCAGTGATGTGTAGGGCAGCAATGGTAGTTTCATTGTTTACTCTTGCAGCACCATGTGACAAGACAATAATCCATCTCTGCTCTGCAAGTACATCAAAAGTGGCTCTGGTCTATGACCACTATTAAGCATCTTTCCCTCTCTCTGGATGGTTAGGAAAATTATCAGCCTTGGTCTAATTTACCATGATGGGCCAAAGGAAGGGCTTAGCACAGACTTCCATGCAGCTCCCTCTATAATCAGCGATTGGCTATTATTATTTTTAAATAAATATATATACCACCCTTCATCCAAAGATCACAGAGTGGTTCAGAACATAAAAATACAAAACAAGAACCCATAATACCTAATGAAAACAAGAATAAAAACAAACCAATAACCCCCCTCCCACAAACACATATAAAAGGCCGTAGAACAGAGCTTTCCAAACTGCAAGGTCCAGGGAGCTCAGAAGCCCCCTCCACATTAACCTAAACCAGGACTTTTAGTGTGGCTGCCCCTGCCCTGTGGAATACCATTCATGACAAGAAAGAACAGGTGACCACTATTTGGACTTTCCAGAAACAATAGAAGACATTTTTGTTCTGACAGGCTTTCCCAAGCTGCATAAATAGGCCTTTGCCACAAGTGTCTGCTTGTTAAGAGCTTTAGTATTGTTTTAAATATATTTGTTGTTTTTCTGTTTTTAACTGTTTATAATTATTGTATGTGTAAATTGCCTCGAGAGAAAGTGCTTTACAAGGTGATTAATAAATCAGCAATAATAGTAATGATGAAAATAAAACTGCAATATGATTTATTTGGCAGGAACCAGTGGCTGGGCCAGGCTCTGGGAGAAATATGGTTCTCGCCTGCCTCTGAATGATCTCTGCTTGTATGTTTCATCTGCTCACATTGAAGAGATACTTGATGGGGCTGGTCTAAAGTACAAGTCCTATGAGCTTCCATCTGATATGGACATAACTGATTGCTTCACTGATGGAAACAGAAATGGGGAGTTGCTGCTTGATTTTTTGACCGAAACCTGTAATTTTAGTAAAACTGCCCCCACTGAATTAAAAAATGAAATTATCAGAGACCTTAAAAAGCTTGAATACAGTGAAAAGAGGGATGACAAGTATTTTTTTAATAACAATCTGAGTGCAATAGTGATTGAACCCTAAATGTGTTCAGCTGTGAAGCAGCCACTCAGTTGAATATTTATTATTTGTTAAACACTTTCTTAGTTTGGTAAGTACGTGATGCTTGAGTCAAATACACATATATCCACAGTATCTAACTTTTTTTGCCACTGTTACAGCTGCTTAACAGTACTGTTAGGTGTTTACAATGCTACATATTAAGACTTTGCTAACAGATTAAAACATAGCTTGCAGAGTTGTACATCATTATCCTTGCGCAGTGGTTCTGTTGTTGGCTATCGTGTGCTGAGATCATTAATCAAAACTTGAAAAATTGCAGGCCTGTGTGCCTCTTGATTGATGGAAAAGGTGTTGTAATGACCTTGAAAAGATGAATCCTTTATGAAGAAAACAGAAAAAGCAAAAAAAAATTTAAATAGAACTTTATAGCTGCCTTTACAGTTATTGCAGCACATATTTCAAACCTTTAAATTTTAGAGCCCACAGTCAGTTCTGCTCTTAGCTCTTTAATGTTTTTCTCTTTGGTTTAACGCTGTTTAAAAAGTAATATGTAGTGATAGGCTGGGGAGAAGAGGAGAAGAACCTTAAGATGCAGGTTTAGAGATGGGAAGAACAGGCCAAATGGCTGGGCATTTGTGCCTGTTAAATGGTTCTGGTGGAAGTGGAAAAATCTAAGTGAAAGGGGACCTCCAGTCAAGGTCATTGTATACAGCTCTGTTACTAATATCAGGAATATCCTGTGTTTGGTGAATCAGTGGCCCTGTGCATATATCTGCTACTGCATACATTATAGGATACATGGGCATGCCTGCACACACCTACTGTCCCATCACTCAGAACATTTAGAGCTTGCTAGCAGTGTGAAGTGGTCTTTTTGAGGAGTGAACATGTTTGAGCTTCACAGGCATTTCAGAGCAGGCACCAAGCACCTATGAATTCCCACTGGCACTGAGCCATGGAAGAACAACAATGGTGGATGCCTATCCTAGGCTTCTTCCCTTATCGTTCAGATACGTCATCAGGGGGATTACGAGTGTGAAGAAGCTTGAAGAAAGAAGAAGAGCTGAAGCAGGGCTGGAGGGAGATTACAACCTCAATGGTGAGCACCTGCCTTGCCTGTAGAAGATCCCTGCCATGTCAACTTCACAAAAGGATCATGTAGCAGGTGAATGGCAAAGCCCCTCTTTCTGATGTTGGGCTATATTGATAAATATGTGCAGCTAGTTTAGGGCAGCTTCCTATGTTTCTTGGTAAGGGATGGAGGAACTCCCCAATGAGGAATTGTTGCAGCGTTTTTAGCTTAGAAAAAAAATGTGAGTAAGAGGTGATATGGTGAAAGTTTATAAAATCATGCATGGCATGGAGAAAGTGAATAGAGAAAAGTGTTTCTGACACTCTCATAACACCAGAACTCATGGGCATCTAGTTGAATGTTGCCCCAGTGTAAAGCTCCCAAAGAAATGTGGAGCTACTTTTGCCACAGAATCACCCCAGTCTGTCCCCATGCATTGAGGACTAGGGATATGGCTTCAAAGCTGGAGCATTCATGTTCTGGACAGGCTTCATCCCTGGCATTTCCCCTGCAAATTATTACAGAAGACTCAGCCGTGTGGTTGCCCCCCATCTCTCCATGTAACCCTGTGCTCAAGTGGGGGGTATAGAAACAGATAAAGGCAGAAGCCTCCTGTTTTGCTGTCTCACAGCCTCATCTTGTGCCTGATCAAGATTTGCATGCATTATTTTGCCAGCAACTTTAAAATCCTCCTAAAAGGGATTTTTAGACAGGATGGTGCCTTCTCCGTAGTCACCTGATTGACTAATGTAAGGTAGTTAAAAGCTACGGCTCATCTATTCCATTCCTCAAAATGAAACATACGTTGCTCAGATCACTGTAGCAAAAGGATGTGATTTAAGATGATCCCTTAGCAGTGACATTCACAGTTTTCGCACAGGCAAAATGACATTAGCGCTTCATGTCAGCTTCCCAAATGTCGGAAGGAGCGGATTAATGTATGAGCCAACATATACGTGTTTCTGAACAATCTGTGTTTTTTTTAAGGTGTGCTCTGCATTTATGCCTTAGATACGTTGCTTTTTGTATTGATGGTTACAACATGGATACAATTCCACAAGTCTGTGCTCAAATAAAATAAATAAAATACCTGTTTTTAAATGTTCTTTACTGTTCATTCTTCTGTGTTACACACTGATGGATGAGGCCAACTCTAACTCTAGCACAGATTTATCAGTAAGGATTTTTGAGAAGGTTATGAACTGTGGGGTTCTGCAAGGTCTGTCCAGAGGCGCAGAATGGAGACTCGGTGCTTGTATGATTCATCCCTAAAAATCTACACAGAAGGTATTTACATTTGTAGTTGACACACTTATTTTGCCATATTTTTTATGGTTACCAACAAAGATGAACGTATCGTCCAAAAGGAACAATATTTTCAAAGGAATTTTGGTACCTCTACAGAATTGGGTTCACAACTGAAAGACCATATTGTTGTACAGTACTTAATTTAAAGCTGAAAGGGAGATTTCCTACTCCATAGTTGATGTTAATGCACAACATGGTATGCATTGCAAAACTCATTTGAGCTTGCTGGGTGCATCTAATGCGGACAGAGATATACATCTCCCTTTGGCACTGATAGTAATGCACAATCAGTATGAATAAATCAAGTTTAGGCTTAACATGGAACTGCAGGGGAATTCCTCGCTGGGTGGGTTTCAGGGCTCTGTGGGCTAATCCTGTCCCCACCACCTGCATATTTGGGTAGTATTGGAAGGAGCTCTTGGTACCTATTGATGTAAGCATGTCTTAACTCTTCCACACACAGGAGACTGTCAATGTATTTGGAGCTTGTGAAGAATTCCCAGTGGGGACACTGGGTATGAGCTTCGGATGCATGGCCCTGCACACACTCCTCATTTTATTTCCCCATGTGTTCTCTGAAAACCTGAAAGGAGTTACTCTCACCAGCATTTTTCCTCTGACTGCATCCTACCCATTTAGGGAACGATCCAGAGCAGTTATTTATTTATACAGTAGTATTTATTTTCCTGGGAGCTCAAGGCATTCTGCCTGGTTCTGCCCCATATCATTTAGTCCCTGCAATAACCCTGGGAGGTAGGTTAGGCTGTGAGGCAGTAGCTGGCCCAAGGTCACCTGGTGAGCTTCATGGCTGCATGGGGATTTGAGCCCTGGTCTCCCAGGTCCTTGTCCGACATTCTAACCACTACAACACAATATTACAAGCCTATAATCAGATCTAAGCCACCAGTCAGGCATCCCTTGAGAGCAAATTCTCAGTGACAGACCCACTCAAAATAATCAAGGCAAGGCAAAGTCCTATCATCCATGTCCCTCTTGGACTTCAGTTAACTAAGATGTCATGATATCTGAAATGTATCTGTGTCCAAGGTCCATGAACTGCAAACTTCTGACCACCTTCTGTTAGCTACCAAGCTATTTAACTGGTCCCAGGGTCCCCAGTTGTGTCCAATAGCTTTCTCTCCATACTGGCTCTGTTGAGAACCCTTCAGGTGGTCAGGCTAAACATTGATGTGTCATGTCTATTATTATTATTATTATTATTATTATTATTAATTTTGACTGTATAATGACTACCAGTAAATTGAACAAATTAATTGACCTCTCAGATGCTATCATCGTTCCTTCCACATTTCTTTCATTTTAACAGCAGCACCTCTTTTATGCTGGCAGGTGGGGAACGGGGTTTTTCTTTTCTTTTTCCAGGGAAAAAATAATAAGTTGTTGGGCAGAATCTTCATTTTTAATAAAAGTATAAATGTTCAAATGAAAAGGATTAATATCTAATTTTACATCTTCATTTGCATGATGTGCCAAAATTATCTTAAATATTTGTTATGGATGAAACAGCTTTCCACCAATTTAGTTTCCTGCCCCCCTCCCAGTCTGGAGAATGTTAACATAAATTGTAGCATAAATCTTTGCCTTGTAGAGTAGCAGAAGGCGCATATAAAAACCCATATCTTTACTGCACATATTTCCCATTAACCATAATCTATTAGTAATTGAAGTTCATTACCAATTCTTGTAGGCTTTATTGCTATCATGCTGCATGACATACTGAACCTGGCTTGCATAACAAGAAGTCCTTGCTGGGAAATATCCTATTAACAATGACAGTGCATTTGTCATTGTGATAATAAACCCAAGAGCTGCCTGCAGATTATAAATTATTGTGGTGCCATTTGCAACGCTGTAGTTTAAAGTTTTGTCAGCCCTTCCATTTTAAGCCCCCTGTTTTTCAGTGAGTTATAACTCGGCCGTAAAAATCTGCAGCCTGCGAAAAATTTGGCTTACAAGGTCCTTGGCCCAAGAGGCTAAAAATAAGAATAAAAATTGAAAGGCTGGGTTCACTCCCAGTCAAATTATATACAAATGGAAGCCTAGTAATCAAATGGGAAGCTGTTTCTTTTGTATTTGCTTACCCTCCTAATTTATTCTCTTTTAAAACAGAGTATTTGATTAGTAGCTAAGTGCCACTATTGCAATGTAATGGCTAAGGGCCAGAACAAATGTAATACTCCCGGTCCTTTAGCAACAGTTAGGAGATTGGTAACTGGCCATGAAATGGTGCAATTTATAGGGAAAGGCCTGTAGCTCAGTGGGCTTTGTGAACAGGTTCAATCCTCAACATCTCTGGGGTGGGCTGGGAGAGATCACTTTCTAAAAACCTGGAGATTCTCTGCTAGCCAGTGCAGGCAATACTTTACTGAGCTAGATGGACCAATAGACTGTCTCAGTATGTGACTGCGGTTCCTTATGTCCCTCTTTTCCACGTTTTCCTCCAGTATAAACACACACACACACACAGTCTTAAGTTTGTACTGCCCTAAGCAATAGTTAATGCTAAAGTGTTTCCATGTTAACCAGGGTTTACAGGTTCATTTCAAATTCAGAGCGAGATCAGAACTCTGATTAGCATTAATTGTGGTTAGGATTGGTGTAAACGTAACCCTTAGCTCAAATTGCTATGGTTGTAATGGGGGGAGGGGGGACAACAAAGAGCAGGAAGAACACAACTTTGCACTCCTTTTAGGCACTTCTTCACCTTTCCCCTTGACAACCAATAGGTTTGGATCAGAGATTAGGAATGTTATAGCAGCAGGAGCCTGAAATAATCCAGTTCAGATCTTGTCTTCGTGATGAATTCTACCACCTCTCAGCCCCTGCACCACCACTGCCTACCTTTGATACGAGATAGCAATGCTGACCTACTTTGCAGGGTTCTTAGGCAGATTGCAGAGGCCGTGCGATGCTGGAACACTATGAAGTCTGTACAATGCATCAGAAAGTCACTGGTTTGAATATCACCTTTGCCACCAGCTTAGTGTGTAGTCTTATGCAAGCTTATTTATTTATTATTAGGTTTATATTCCACTTTACTACCAAAGAACTCAAGGTGGCATACGTGATTCTCCTGGCATTCTTCATATTATCTCACAGCAACCCTGTGAAGTAGGTTGTGACTGGCCCAAGGTCATCCAGTAAGCTTCATGGTTGAATGGGGGTTTGAACCCTGGTCTCCAGGTTGTAGTCTGACACCAACCAGTATAATTTTCCTCTCTCTCTCCCTGCCACGTACATTATGAGGATAATAATAATAATAATACATTATCCAATACAAGAATACAAGTGTAAAACAACTGGATAAGGTGAGCCAGGATAGTTTCATAAATATAAGATTCTTAGGCAATTCTGAACTCATGAAGCTGGTTCTGATGTGACATTTAACAAGAATCAAAGAGTTTTGAATCTGTTGTGAGGGGCAGGAGATATTTCTGTATGTATTTGCTTCCTTTATTTTTCTCAGTGTGGAACAGCTATTAGTGTGGAATGGCAGAAACTTGTTTCTCTAAAGCTATGTTGGTAATTTTGTTTATTCTTGACAATTTTGATTTTTAAAAAAAATATTATTTTAATTTTCTTGCCCATTTCTAGGAAGCCATTTAAATAACAAAATTAATACTTCCTCAGCCATCCATTTTCAATCCTGATTGAAAACTAGAAGTGTGTGTGTGTGTGTGTGTGTGTGTTGTAAGAAATTTCCTCACTGGCTAAAACGGAATTATTTCTTGAGCTTATGTCTATAAAGTGCATTGACTCTCAAAATACAGCAGATGTTTTCACTAGTTGCATAATATATTTTTTCCAGCATGTAATATAAGAATCTTGAATATATCTAGCATTTCTCATCTCCAATTGTCCCTGAACGCTTTGCAGTCTTTTAATGTGAAAACTGCTTCACTTTCTACTGAGGTGCTGAAATCTCAGGAGGGCCATCTAACACCTGTTTAATGGCCCCCAGCACCATTACCTAACAATTTATGGCAGGAAGTAGAACAGAAAACGGTAGCTGAAAATGAAAAAAATTAGCAAAAGCAACTGTAATTATTTAGAAACTCAAGCTTTGCTGCTCGGAACATATACTCTGGAAACAAAATGCTTATCTATCTCTCTGGAGGAGTTCCTGTTGGCTGAGGTATCTCGTGGTACCATGGACAGCATCTCCAGGATCATTTTCTGTCTTGCACTTTGGCAAAAAGCCTTATACTGTGTGCAGGTGAGCAGAAGATCAAAATGGCAGACTTTCTGCTTTTCAGTAACTCTGCTGGAAGGGGAACTTCAGCGGGTGTCAATTCTACTATTACTGAAGGTCTAAGATAGTTCAGTCAGTGTTCACAAACACAACTCATCCAATTAAGCCAATGTTTCCCAAACTAGGGTCTCCAGCTTTTTTTGGACTACAACTCCAGCTTGCAGGAAAACAGACAAATAGACTAAGGAAGGGACTGAGGGCTGTAGTGGTGGTGGTGTCAGCTGTGATATTCTTTACATGAGGGTGCTGCCACACATGTGGGACTCAGGAAATGCTAAACTGGAAAGAAGGAGAAGGGTAAACAAGAGAGGAGGCATATGTGTGGGTCCTGAGCAACTACACAAATCACCCTAGGTATGTGATTAGGAGAACAAGTATTATTTGTTTAGGGCATGCCATTGTAAATAGTACAGCTGAAATGTATTAAAACATGATTGCCGTGGGCATGTCCATGAGTTCTCCAGTATGAGAGAGCCTCACTAATAAGATTTTAAGTGAAAAGGTTTGTGGATAAGCATGATCTC